ACACACACACACCCACAATGTATACACACACACACACCCACAATGTATACACACACACACTGCATGTGCAGATCCACACTCCATGTGCAGATCCACACTCTATGTACATACACACACACAGACACACGCACACACACAATACTAATGAGTATTTCTCACAGTGTGACTAATCCTATAAATAGGAACACACGTGGGCAGATACAATATCCTGAAACAACGCTGCAATAGTTGTCAACTGCCAAGCTCAATGACATCATGAAAACATTTGACTGCATTCAACCTTTATCCTTCCTGCGTCTGTTGAGATAACTCAAAATCTTGGTTAAAATCAGCTGCCACCAAACAATACCCATGACCCACTCTTCTCCATCAGTACCTGTCCCTGTACAAAGGCTCGACAGTGCATTGTTATCAGCAACATTAAGGCAGGCAGAGGGTCGGAGATATTAGGAACGTTTTCTCCTCCCATCGTCTGCTGGATAACAAACAGCATGGGGAGTGTCAGGGCAGGGGGAAGAGTCGGTGCGAGGGGAGAGCCAGGGTGAGAAGAGAGTCATGGCAGGGGGTGTGTCGGGGCGAGGGTTGAGAGTCGGGGCGGGGAGAGAGTCACCTTGTTCATCTGAACATATGAAATCTCCAAGTGGTTTGTTAAAACCCATAGACTGTCCTGGGTCAGGGGAAGCCATGATACATGAAGATATCAGATCATATTGCCAAGCTGTTTACCCTCCATCAAAGATTTTAATCCTGGTGGGCTCCACTTGCTTGTCGGAATGGTCTTTGTTCGCACTGGTCTCCATCTTTTCCCTTTCCTTTTCAAAACTTCCTGCTGCTTTCCCTCCAGCCCCATCATGATCACACTGTGAAGATTCATACCATTTCATCTGCAAAAGACAGATGGCACCATATTATTTCGCTGTGTCTCTTGTCCAAGCAGATCGAAGCTTTTAACCCTTCATTGTCCGGAGCATTTTTCTGAAGAGAGAATGTGTGGTGATCTCATTGAAGGAAACAACTCTGAGGGAATCTCGAACCAGGGGGCACTGCCTCCAGTGAATGAGGTCTCTCATTTCCGACAGAAACACTGAGGAATTTCTTATCTCAGATGGTTGTCAGTCATTGGAATTCCCTCTTACGGAGAGCAGTGGGGGTTGGGTTGTTGACTAAGTTTGAGGCTGTTAGATGGGTTTTAAATTGGCAAAGGATTCGAGGGTAATAGAGGAGCAGACTCCTGGCAGGAGTCAAGGCTACAATCTGAACAGGCATGATGTATAGAATGGTATCCACACAGCCCTTCGAGCCTGCTCTGCCATTCAATAAGATCATGGCTGATCTGATCACAACCTCCACTCTACATTCTTCCTGAAAATCTTTCATCGTCCTTGGTCATCAACAATCTATCTCCCTCTGGCCTTAAAAATATTTAAAGATTCTGCTCCTACTGCCGTTTGTCAAAGGGAATTCCAAAGACTCTCAACCATCAGAAATAAATGTTTCCTCATCTCAGTCTTAAATGGGCGACCCTTTATTTTTAAACTCTGACCCCTTGTTCTAGATTCTCCCACAACAGGAAACATCCTTTTGACATCCACCTCAGCAAGTCCCCTCAGCATCTTATACGTTTCAATTAAGTCACCTCTGACTCTTTTGAACTCCAGACGATACAGGCCGAGCCTGTCTGGCCTTTCCTCATAAGGTGATCAGCTCATTCCAGGTATTAGTTCAGTAAACCTTCTCTGAGCTGCTTCTAATGCATTAACATCCTCCTGTAAGTACAGGGACCAGTACTGTTCACAGTACTCTAGATACACTCTGCAGTGCCCTGTATAACTTAGGCATAACCCCTGTACTCTTCCATTCAATTCCCTTTGCAATAATCAGAATAATCTAATGGTTTTCCTGATAACTGATCGTACCTGGAGACTAATCCTCTACAATCGAGGCATGAGGATACCCGGATCTCATGCAACACATGCTCAATTGGCCAAATGGCCACATCCTGGTCCTACTCCTTACGAATTCTCCTATGGAGAATCTTGCAGTGCAGAAGGGAGCTGGTCAGCTCCGGAAAGAGCTCCTTGATCAATTCAACTTCACAACCGCTTTCTCCATAGCTCTGTAACTTTTCCCCTAAAGGACTCATCCAATTTCCTTTCAGGGCTATCGCCAAATCTGCTCCCACTGCTTTGCATTTTGATCGTAATTCATCCATCCTTCTCTACAGTGCTTTGTCAACCACCACAATCTCCACTGCTGACTCTAAAGTAAAATATAGAACTGCAGGGGTTTGGAATCTGAAACAAAAGCGGAAATTGCTGGCCAAACTCAGCAGGTCTGGCAGCACCTATGGGATGAAAGCACAATTAATGTTTCAAGTCTGATGACCCTTCATGACTCTTTCTATGAAGGGTCACGGCATTCAAAACATAAACTCTGCTTTCTCTCTCCACAGATGCTGCCAAACCTGCTGGGTTTCTCCAACAATTTCTGTTTTCATTTCCGTCACTGACTTCTACCACTGGAAGCAGTATCTATTATTTATTCAATCCCAACTTGCTATGGTTTTGAATACCTTTGTTTAATCGCACATTGTTCTTCTCTGCCTGCTTCTCCCGTCTCCCTATTCTCCAGTGCCATCCCATTCACATTCTTCCCAAATCACAGTGCCCAGGATGGGACACTTTAGTTTGATTAGGACCACATCCACAAACATCCCCTCCCTCCACCAAGAGAGACAGTGTGTACCATCTACAGGATGCACTTCAGAAATTCACAGAAAATAGGAGCAGGAGAAGGCCATTCGGCCCTTTGAACATGCTCTACCATTCAATAGGATCATGGCTGATCATCCAACTCAGTCCCCCGTTCCCTCTTTCTCCCACATACCCTTTTATCCCTTTAGTCCTAAGAACTATGTCTAAATCCTTCTTGAAAACGTTCAATGTTTTGGCCTCAGCCATTTTCTGTGACAGAGAATTCCACAGGCTCACCACTCTCTGGGTGAAGACATTTCTCCTCATCTCAGTCCCAAATGGCCCACCCATGTCCTTAGACAGAGCCCCCCTGGTCCATCGGGAACATCTTTCCTGCATTTATCCTGACTAGTCCTGTTAGAATTTTATAGGTTTCTATGAGATCCTCCCTCCTTCCTCTAAACTCCAGTGAATATAGTCCCTCACTGATCCAGTCTCTCTTCATTTATCAGTCCTGCCATCCTAGGAACACATCCATCAGACCCACAGTGTGAACTGTCTCCACTTTGCATCACTTGGCGTGAGGGGTTAGCCATAATGGTAGTTACTGTCCTCCACTTTGTCCTCACTGCAGCCCCTCTTCCACTCTCTGAGGAGGACAATGTTCCTCAAATGGGGTTCACACTTCAGCAGGAGCGTTCCTAATCTTTGATCATCCAGTGCGAAGATCAGAGGATCTCGTGGTGAATCTGCTCCTGATCAAGGAGGCCATGAAAACAGCCAGGCAGCGGGAGGAGGCTCATTGGCCTAACTACCTGCCCATATCCCACGGTTACGTCCGTGTCTGCGTGGACTGGATAGGAATCACGCAAGGCTATTTGTGACTAGGGGGCAACGCAGGGCCTGGAGTGCACTTTGGAAAATGATTTATTCACAGGACATGGGTGTCTCAGCCTGAGCCAGCATTTATTGCCCAGAGGGTAGTTAAGAGTCAACCACATTGCTGTGGGTCTGGAGTCACTGGTAGGCCAGACCAGGTAAGGATGGCAGTTTCCTTCCCTAAAGGACGTTAGTGAACAAGAGGGGTTTTTCATAAAATCCCTACAGTGTGCAAACAGGCCACTCGGCCCATTGAGTCAGCACTGACCCTCCAGTGAGCATCCCACCCAAACCCAGGCCCTGACCCCTCATAACCCCACATTTCCCATGGCCAATCCACCCTAACCCGCACATCTTTGGACTGTGGGAGGAAACCGGAACACCCGGAGGAAACCCACGCAGACACGGGGAGAATGTGCAAACTCCACACAGACAGTCGTCCGAGGGTGGAATCGAACCTGGGTTTTTAACACCAGTTCACAGTGTTAACGTTGTTGCATTTGACATTGTATTTTAATTTGAATTTTGTCTGTCTACATTTCATTTCTGGTTTAGTGCCCTTTTCACATGATGGCACCCTTAAACCTGATTTAAATGGTTTGATTTGGCTTCTCTGATTGACTTGGTTTTAACTGATTTTAATGGCCTGACAACATTGTCAACATCATAGACTCATACAGCACGGAAACAGACCCTTCTGTCCAACCAGTCCATGCCAACCATAACCCCAAACTAAACCAGTCCCACCTGCCTGTGCTTAGCCCATATCCCTCCAAATATTTCTTATTCATGTCCTTATCCAAATGTCTTTTAAATGTTCTAACTGTACCCACATCCACCACTTCCTCTGGAAGTTCATTCCACACACGAAATGCTCCCTGAGTAAAATAGTTGCCCCTCATGTCTTTTTAAATTCTTTCTCCTCTCACCTTAAAAAGATGCCCCCTAGTCTTGAAATCCCCCACCCTCTGGAAAAGACACCTCCCATTCACCTTATCTGTGCCCCTCAAGATTTTATAAACCTCTATAAGGTCACCCCCTCAACCTCCTACACACCAAGGAAACAAGACCCAGTCAACCCAGCCTTTCCTTATTACTCAAACCCTTCATTCCCGGCAATATCCTGGTGAGTCTCTCTGAGCCGTCTGCAGTTTAGTAACATCCTGGGGTCTGGCTGACTTTTACCTGGGCTATACTTTGTTTCCAGCTGCTGGAGGCCACCAGCTTTCCGGAACTGGGCCAGTTCAGGGCCGACATGATGTAGATCTCCCTGGCTGCCTTCTGCTTGGACCTCAGGAGTGCCAAGGCCACTTTGGTGGCAGTGCCTGGTGGGTTGGGGTTGTAGGAGCTGATGCACCAGGTGTCATACATAGACAGCTTGGACGCTGTGTGCCGGGTCGGGTTGGGCTTGGTGTAGTTCAGGAAGCACCAGCTGACGCTGGTGGAGGTGCGGAGGCTGGGGAACTGCAGGAACTGCTGGAGGTCAGCCGCATCTGACAGGAGAATGGTGCCCCCGACCACCGTTCCCCCTTGGCTGGTGGGCACCTGGAGCAGCATGCTGATGGGGAACTTCTGCGGAGGGGCCGGCAGCTCCGAGGGGCTGTCTCCTGGCGACAGAGGTGCTCTCTGAGGGCTCTCTGCATCGAAGCTCTCCACCGACTCCATGTCGCTGCAATGGCTGAGCAGCGCACGGTCTTCAGATGGGATGGACTCCAGGCTCTGAAGGCCGTGGCGTTGCAGAGAGCCCGGGGAGGAGCTGGAGGACAACAGCTGACCTTCCTTCATCTCGGTGGTGCAGAACTGGCGGACCAGCTGTGGTTTGGCCGATTTGGTGCCGCCTTGGGGCGCAGCGGGTGGAGGTGCGCCAGACTCCCTCAGGCTCAGTTTCTCCAGCATCTGCCCACAGATCTTCTCCTCTTTGATGCGCTTCTGCTGCTTGGTCTCCACGGAGAGCTCCAGACTGCTGGCAGGTGATAGCATTCGCTTGCTCCCTCCAATGGGCGATCCACCGTCCGAGCTCACCAGGCTCAGGGTGAGCGGCACCGACGGTTCCCCAGCCGCGCCGGTGACCACCGAAGGGGGCAGCCCCCACTGGGGGCAGTGCAGCGGGACGGCACGGCCGGCTCCCCTGCTCTGCTCCTGGCCCGCCCCGGTCGAACGCTCCTCCACCTTGCAGATGACGATGGCGTTGGGGTCGGCCGGACCCCGGGGTCCCGGCGCATGGGAAACGCTGGTGTACATGACGCTGCCGTAGGTGGGCACGTTGGCCTGGATCCTGACGGGCACCAGCAGCGAGGGCGGGGGGCGGCCGGTGCACGGGGCGGGGGCCCTCTCTGGAGGGAAACGGGCCCGGCGGCTGGGGGAGTGCTGAGGGGAGGCCCGGGGCGAGGGGCAAGTGGGGTCCTTATCCCCCCAACCCGGGCGGGCCTGAGGGCGCCTATCTGCCGGTTGACCTGGGTAGGCCTCGCCGGGGTTGGCGGGAGGGAGGGGCGCAGCGGGCTGCAGGGGTGCCGCTGGCCAAGGCAGGATGCAGGGGTCGGAGCTGGGGGCGGGGAAGGGGGGCGGGTGAGGCAGCTGGTAGAGTTGCCAGGGCTGGTGGAAGTCGAGGGGGTAAGGGGCGTCGCCAGGACGGTCGGTGGGGGAGGGCGGGCGGTGTCGAGGGCCCCGCCCAGGGATCGCTGGCCCACACACCTGGTGACTGGAGACCTGCATCGGCTCGGCCTGCTCTTGGCCGTGCTCCAGCTGGGAATTCTCCGAGTACTGCCCGAGGGAGGCCTGGCGCACCAGGAAGCACCTTCTCCTCTCCCTGACGGCGGGGGACGTGGGGCCGGGCCCACGAGGCAGGGCCCCCCCGGGGCCTCCCGACAGGTTGCCGTAGTCGAAGGACTTGCTGCGGATCTCCACCATCTCCATGTAGGGCTGGCACGGGGCCTGTTCAGAGGCCGAGCGCCTCATCTCCTTCTGCTGTTGCTGCTGCTGCTGGCACAGTAGGCCCAGGCTGTTGACCGCGTAGGGTACCGTCAGGTACTCGGCCGTCTCTAGCCTGCCAGAGGCCCCAGGCTTCGGGCCCTCATCCCTCTCCAGCGAGAGGGAGAAGCTGGAGCTGTGCGACCAGTTGCTGTCCTGACTCAGGCTCCGGGACAGGGTGCCCGACTCGAGGCTAGATTCTCCAGAGGAGTACTCCAGCTCAGCGAGGCGTAACCTCTTCTTCTTGGGCGGCAGTTTCTCGGT